CTATTTACAGCGATCAAATAGTTTTCCTGAAACCACTGTAAACTTTTTTCCGATATCGAATATAGACCTAAGGATAGCAATACTTGTATTCAAATCCAGGAACAGTTCAAAGGATGGCGTTTAAGTATGTAAATGTATATCTCATTTTTGTACATGAAAGGAGCTTTCTCCTTTTATGTTATTCACGCAATACAAGCAAGCAACCAGTGCTTCGAGCTCGTTTACAGAAACCTTTTTTTAACAAGAATCTGTATTCATACGAGTGGCTCATATCATAGGAAACTGACTTTTGTCAGAAATGTTCTACTGCCGTTACAGTTGCAATACAGTTTGAAAACCAATTAGATGAGATAAGATCAGCTCAATGACACTAAATGTGACTGTGTATCTGTTAAAGTAAAAATGTTGTTTAGGTATTTCAACCCACTAAGAAGAAAATCAGTGTATATGTATAGAATTATTGCCTCAGGCTTAAGAATTTTACTTATTACATACTTTATGATTATTGTATTGAGCAATTAAATGTGCGACAGACGTTCTTTTAGGTAAGATTACTAAGAACTATGGTAATATTAGGATGAACTAGGAGCTGTATATATTAATTAGTAGCAAAATAAGTTTCTTAAACATTGAAAAATTATTTTTTTTTTCTTTATATTATGTTTCCATAAATAGTTTTCCTACTATTTAAGTTCATGATTGAAAATATGTCACTGTATCTCGTTTATTTCAATTGATTTAACATTAAAATCTAATTACTGGCAAAGTTTGAAACTAATGTTTGCTACTTTTTAATAAAGCATATGTTCTTACCTGCGAGTGCAAGAAAGCAAAGTCCAAAATTAAAATATAGAGGCTCGGTGGTGATTTTAATCAAAAGATAGCAAGAGTGTGGTGAGTATCAGTTGCAATTAATTGTGTGAGTCACAAGGCATAAGTTAGCTAATCTATTCGCCAAAATCGTGTCAAACATTATTTCTATGCAATATATATTATCACTACACATGCATAATATAAATATATATTATATATATATAAATATATATATATATATATATAATTTATTATAATGATTATTGTATAAATAAATATACAAAATAAATCACACTACCCTTATTATTATCATACCTAATAAGAAGTGTAAAATGTATAATTTGTAAAAATGTACTTTGAAAATATAGAATAGTAATTAATTTGTCTCCTGCATTTTGCATTATGCACCAGCTAATAAAGAGTGCAAAAACATATGTATACTTACTTACACCCGTTAAAGTTTCAAATGAAAATATCGATATATCGAAAGTATACAGTAGTGAACAAATCTCGTAGAATTGTATCCGACATGCAATTTTGAATCTGTGAAATAACGGTGTCTAAGGTTTTGCATAAAATTATTGAAAACTACCATGAATAATGCGACTACTTATCCTTCTTGTATAAAGATTGTAAGTATTATACAAAAAATACTGATTCTACAAATATTATGTAAATTAAAGATGAACAGTACAATTCAAAAGGTAGGTTAATATTTTTAGCCGACCACTAATTCAAAACAGAATAACGTAATGGTTTCTCAGAAATTCGATTTAAAAGAAGTATTAACACTTAGTAGTGAATTAATAGCGTTAGCTAATCGAATATTTGGGGAAAGAAAATGGAATCACAGTATAACAAATCAAACAATTGGTTTGTAATTTCATTGATTAATTAATGTGAATCATTTGAGTTTACTTAAAATCGACTTGTTTATTATTATAATTATTTCAGATTTTATAGAACCTTTTATGGGTAAATATGTTTGTGGTTGTGCAACATTTGTTAAAATTCAATTAAAAGATGGAACGTTCCATGAAGACATGGCATATTATTATGCAGAAGGAGCTACGAAAGGTTTAACAATACATACTGCGAGAATTGTATGTTTTACATTCCATTTTTTCATATTTATGCATATTGTATACATTAATTTTTTTGTCTTTGTATTCAGACTTCTCTTACAGAGGCCTTTAAGAAAACATTATCATGTTTTGGTTCCATAGAATCTGACATAGAGAAGTTAATAAACAAATCATCTAATTCACATATAAATAATAACTCAAAAGAAAATGTACAATGTCCTATATCTAGTTTAAAAGATAATGTACTTGAAACATTTACTAAATCTGAGTCATTTGTAAATCAAAAAATCATTCAAGAAGAAGATATGCAAGGTTTGTATAAAATTCTGTATTGATAAAACTTCAATAAAACCTTCAATAAGTCAACTTCAATAAGTCCTTTTATTGTTAAATGTTTTTAGAAATAATAGCACGACCTGAAAGTCAATGTAATGAAACTGAACAGGCAGTAGTATCAAAACAGAGTACCAAATCAAAAAGTCCAATAATAAGTAAAAAAGAAACTATTTTCATAAAAAATGTAAATGGTACAAGAGGTCAGCAACAGTCCAATGATGTGAGTCATCAAAAAGGAGAAGATACCAATCAAAAGAAACAGGAACAGCAAAAAGGTAAATAAATTAATAATTAATATAGAGCTATTATTAAATTAAATACAAATGATTTTAGCATTAAATGATGAAGAAATTTTACGAATGGAACGAAAACGAAAGCAAATGGAAAAGCAAGCTGAATACAAAAGATTAATGAAAGAAAAGGAACAGTTAAAGACAACAGAAAGTAAAAAATATAATCCAAAATATTAATGCATAAAAGCATTTATGTATATCATAGAGTAAAGAATGTATTGTGTATATCTAGTTTACAATTTAATATTATAATATATGTATATTTTTATAAACGTTTTAAATAATACATGCTTAAGAGGAAATATAATCATGTGTCATTTATGTACATAAAGTCGGCCACAAAAATATTGGGACACCAGTATAATTTTGACTTTAAGCATTATATTTGGAACAAATAAATAAATATATATAAAAATGACTTGTGACACAAAATTTGACATTTTACAAATTTGTCCTGTATATTAAAGTAATCACAAGTAATAAACTAGCCATTTTTTATGAATATATTTTTTATATTGTACTTTAACATAATTCAAGTCATTTTTATATATATTTATTTATTTGTTCCAAATACAAAGCGTAGAAGCCAAAATTATACTAGTGTCCCAATATTTTTGTGACCAACTGTATGTGTTATGTTAAACACGTATCACATGTTGTTCAAATATTAAGGTTAGGAATTACTTTAAGTAAACAGAATGTTTTGAACGTTATTAAAGATATATAATTTACTTAAACCAAAAATATTTAATTTTATTAACTACTTGATTATTTTTTTTAAGTGGTTGAATAAAAAAAATAATAATTTATAGATAACTTTTACTGTTAAAAAGAGTGGAATCATGGATCAGTATTTTAAGAGTTATGAAGAACTTGATGTATGTACATAAATATTATATATTGTACAATCTTATAATGAAATATGTCATTGCGCTTAATGGTATTTTCAGGTACATCAATTAATGTTGAAAGATAAAATTCGAACCCTTGCATATAAAAATGCTATAATGAATTCTAAACAATTATTCGAAGATAAAATTGTTATGGATGTTGGTGCTGGATTAGGTGACATATTCTAATTAATTTAATTTATATTATAATTGAATTTAATTGATTAATATTGAATAGCATTTTTAAAATGCATTAATGTTTTTTAGGAATATTATCAATTTTTTCTGCGCAAGCAGGTGCAAAAAAAGTTTATGCAGTCGAAGCAAGCGATTTAGTTAAATTTACCGAAAATGTTATAACGGAAAATAAACTGAATGACAAAATTTCTGTAATTCATAGTAAAGTGGAAGATATTAGCATAAATAATATTGAAAAAGTCGATATAATAGTTTCGGAGTGGATGGGCTTTTATTTAGTGCACGAAGGAATGTTGGACTCTGTTCTCTTTGCAAGAGATCATTTTTTGAAGGAAAACGGCATTCTCTTTCCATCTATTGCTAAACTATATGCATCGCCATGTCAATTACCATCCATATATAATTTTTGGGAAGATATTTATGGAGTCAGTATGAAGTAATAACAAATAATCTATTAGTACAATTAATAATTTTATTTTCTGTCAGTATTCAATATCTTTATTCATTGCATTATAGGTGCATCGGGGAAGAGTACAGGAGAGCAAAATCAATGAAGCCAGAAATATTATTTGTAGATGAAAAAGATCTTCTAGCTGAAAGCAAATTGTTAGCATGGTTGGACTTACAGTGCATCAGTACACAAGAATTAAATCTTCTTGGGGGTGAAAATTATGTGTCTGTTTGTAAGAAAGATGGAAAGTATCAAGGAATTTGCATTTGGTTTGATGTTGAGTTTCCAGATGGATCAGAATTATCCACGAGTCCCTTCAATGAAGCTACACATTGGAAACAGACTGTTATTATTTTACCTACAGACATGGAAGTTGGAGAAACCGAACCTATTGCATTTAAATTGGAACTGAAAAGAAATTTTATTATACCCAGGCAGTATGACATGGAATTGGTGTTGTTGGATGCATTAGAAATAGATCACGAGGTTCCTTGTTCCTGTTATATGACAAAGTGCATTGTAACAAGAACATTTATAGAAAATAATGAAATAAATGAATAATGTAGTACTATCTTACTGTGGTTTCATTACCCTATACATAACAATACGATAAAATAATAAATATAAGTCAAACTTTTCTCTTATTTTCGGATCAAGAACCCCTTTCTTGATTTACTCCGTTTTCCTTCTTAATTTGATAACTCGTAGGTATACGCGGCGTCTCCATATACAGTGTAAGATAGAAATATGTCTCTTTTAAGTTAACTTTAAGCTCAGGAAAGAAAACATCGATCATTCGCTGAGCGGAAATTTCTTTCTTTATTTCATTATAGTTAGTTATTATATAAGCTTTTCAATACAATGAATAATTCTTGGCGTTTTGTGTATAGCATATAATGTATAAAGTGGCAAGGATTATGTTTCCAACAATCTGCGCTTTTGACTGGTAGCGACGTCCGTGGTAAAACGCTCAAACTGGGAAGCAAACATTACCGATGTGGGAGTTCACGTGGACTGACTGTAGTAACTTCCGTGGCTAAACGCTCAAACTAGTAGAAAAAACGTTACCGATTTTTTCAGAAAGTTACAACAGTCCAAACGTGGCTAATTTTCCACAAAAAATGTTGTGACCCCTTAATATTTCATACTGGTGTATGCTTATTATTTAAATCTATATTACGTTCTTACTACATAGAAAACCATGAATATTTTTATGTTCGATTTTGGTAGACTCATTTATATTTTACCATGGGTAATACCAGTCATCTAGATTTCACTACTTACTGTAATTAGAAACTCAGAAAAATATACGTAACATGATCCTGCAAATATATTCGAAATTACATTGATGAAAGCTGAATTCGATTTATCTCCATTTTTAAACGGGATGGGAAAATGTTCTAGTCTGAATGTACTTTTTAAGAGTAATTCTTGAAATTTTATTTCTAAATATTTTTTATATCCTGTACGTATACATTTTTATATCTTTTTAAGTTTTTTGAAAATGGGAAAATGAACTGGACTCATCCAAAATATACATAAATGGATGGTACTGTGATTTCCTTTTTTTACATATACGTTCCTGTTCGTAAAGAATTACATTACTCTTCACAATCAGATAAAACCCAATTCTTATTTTGAATAAACTGCACGTTCATAGCCATTTGTATTATGTTTAATACATACTGTTGTGCAAAATAATTAGCCATTCAATCATCTGTTTTTAAACTGTGAAAAACGGTATATATTTTAAGCTGTATATAGAACAGAGAAAGTTTATTCATATACAGCATAAACCTAAAGTGTATGAAAAATACATAAATATGTATAATATACGCAAAGCACAAAAAAATAAGTAGAGACAAGTACACAAAATATGTATGCATGAAACATTGTAACAATATTTATAAAATGTACATATAGAACGATGCAAAAAAATACAAGGAAAAATAAAGCACTATTAATTTGTGTCTTACTAACATTTCTTTCAAATTATTTTCCTTTTAATATTATTGTCCTTGTGGTAGCAATATTTAATGAACTAAAAATTGAACATTCAAATAAGTTTACTAAAAATGAAAATGTATATGAATGTGTATTGAATTTTATGAACAACATAAAATGACATGGAAAAAAGTCGTTATGCATTCCGTAGCACATTGTAAATGAAAAAAAGTGAGACTTGTAATTATGTCATGTGTAACAATGGAATTATACATTGTAGTATACTCATGTCACATTTTCATTTATAATGAAAAAAATATATTCACTGCTATGTATCATATATATTTTTTAAATTAAATTATACAAAATAATATGTTCATATGAAATTTTATATTTAAGTTACAAAATATGTGCTGTATAGGTAATCATATTAAGAAACTTTTGAAAATCGTAATATAAATTTCATGAGTTTTGAACATATAAATGACATTAAAAAGATTCTATGCTGTGATAAAAGTTGAGCCTTTAATAAATAGATAAACAAGTTTAATTGTATTAATTAATGAAAGAAACAACAAATACGCGTGTATGTCAATGCCCTAAATAATATTATCACATAGATGAAAGTTATGTTTTTTGTAACATTTTACGAAAGCAAGTATTTTATTTCAGAACGTAAATATTTTTTTACACCTTCTGCATATTTGAATTTATATATTTTTTACATTAGTCAAAGTAAACTGTATATTCTCGTAACGCAGTTTACATTTGATGCACGTATTTTCACTTGCATAATGTAAAATTGTCAGTATTAGAACCATTTTTCAGTATCAGTCTACTAAAAATAAGTACACGTAAGAATTTCCACTGGTAATCTGTATTATTACCGCATTAGATAAAATAATTAGATAAATGTTTTTAATCATTCTAAATTTATATTCTTAACTTCACCCCGTAAGTTTTTTTGTGTATAATAAAACTTTGTATTTTACTTACAAAAATAGGAACATAGGAGGAATAGAAAATTGGACATTAAAAGAATTGTTTCCGTAGCTCCTTTTATTCACTTTCATTCGTTATTACTGTTATTTATAGGTATGTACAGAAAACCGTTGTTAACCAATTACGATTGTAGGAAAAACGCGGGCAAAAGTATGGAACCATTGCAGACCAATCGTATATCTTCGCACATACTCTCTTCAATATAGAATGTGTAAAAAGGTAAATATTTGTAAAGAAATATCTCGTAGAAAAGTGTTTTGTTGTGTATATATCTTCAGCAGTTCAATTCCTTATCGAGTCAGGTAATTGAAAAGTAATAAAAAAGCAGGTCCCATTTCCCCATTAAATCTGCATTGGAACTACAGATTGTTTCTCACTGCCTACTTTCGCGCCGACGTATAAGATTTATGGTGAAAAACGTTAAATGCTAATTAAAATTAATTCCTTTACTGAAAATAATTCACTTTCGGAACATCTATACGATAAGGATGACAATGATAATTAGTAATAACGACGACAAAAAAATAATGAAATTTCTCGAATATCGCAGATATAGGATTTATTTCCGTATAATAATTAGAAAATATAATTAAGCCGAGCTAAATTATGATGTCTGTTGATGTTCTTGTGAAACAGATGTTGGAAGTAACTCTCGTAGTTTACTTTCTTTTTTCATGGAACTCGGACATACGAGAAGTGAGTAGGATTGCTAGCTCACCATCGTCAACTGCAGACCTTTCCTACGAAATTCTTTGCGATGGGAAAAGTGACGGAGCAACCATTTTGATAAACGAAATATGTGAATGTTAAAGAAGTGCGGCGAACGTGCTACTTCATGTAGACGAAAAGCCAGTCGTCGTGTATCTTTATCAATCCTATTATTCTTCATCATGGATTGCGACTTCGTAGAAAATATTGCAGCCTGCGATGGCAATAAGATACCATTATTCTCGCGCGAGGAACGTGAAGAAAGAAGGTAAACTACTTCAGCTACTATACGCCGACGCCCATCTTGGGATACACATGTACGGAAACTAGTTATTTCTTTTTCTGGGCCTTCTCGGCAGCCTTGGTGACCTTGCCCGTAGCGTCCTTGAAATTGACAGCTTTGATGACACCTACAGCCACCGTTTGACGCATGTCACGAACAGCAAAACGTCCCAAGGGTGGAAACTCTTGGAAAGCCTCAACACACATAGGTTTGCTTGGAACAAGCGTGACAATAGCAGCATCTCCGGATTTGATGGCCTTTGGATTTTCTTCAGTAGTTTTTCCGGAACGACGGTCACATTTTTCTTTGATTTGAAGGAATTTACACGCAATGTGCGCAGTGTGACAATCCAATACTGGAGTGTATCCATTGCAGATTTGGCCTGGATGGTTCAGCACGATAACCTACACAACAAAAATATTAAGTTGAAATGGTTTTTTCTTAAAAATTATATTAAACAATTATAACATAATTAACACTCAGACGCCTTCGGCCGTCAGCAGGTATGGATATACCTTCCGGTGGAAACCGCGAATGAAGTTTGTAATTTCTCATCACAGTGATAATTATGATTTATTAATAAAAGTAGTTATTTTTAATATTCTCATAAACACTTACCTGTGCAGTGAAATCAGCAGCACCTTTAGGTGGATTGTTCTTTGAATCACCAGCTACATAACCACGACGCAATTCTTTGACAGATACGTTCTTCACGTTGAAACCAACGTTGTCACCAGGAACAGCTTCTTGGAGAGCTTCGTGGTGCATTTCAACCGACTTAACTTCAGTGGTAAGACCAGCTGGAGCAAATGTGACGACCATACCTGGTTTCAAAACACCAGTTTCGACACGACCCACTGGTACTGTTCCAATACCACCAATTTTGTACACATCCTGTAATTAAATTATACATATTCTTATAACAGTGTTCGAAAAAAATTAATGATTTACTAATTAATTGATTTTAGTCAGACACCTCTGACCATCAACAGATTACAAAATCTTCCGGTGGAAACCGCGAATGAGTTATCGATGTTATCATCATGAAAAAAAATCCTCAAATTTAATACTACCATATTTAGAGAAGTTTTTACCTGAAGAGGAAGACGCAAAGCCTTGTCTGTAGGTCTTGTAGGTGGAAGAATGGCATCAAGCGCTTCAATAAGGCATTTTCCTTCTGCTTTACCTTCTTTGCGCTCTACAGCCCATCCCTTAAACCAAGGCATCTTGGAAGAAACTTCCAACATGTTATCTCCATGCCAACCGGAAATTGGCACAAATGCAATAGCAGCAGGGTTGTAACCAATTTTCTTAATGTAGGACGATACTTCTTTCTTGATTTCCTCAAATCGAGCCTCAGAGTATGGTGGTTCAGTAGAATCCATCTTGTTCACACCAACGATCAGTTGCTTGACACCCAAAGTAAAAGCGAGCAAAGCATGCTCACGAGTTTGTCCATTTCTCGAAATACCAGCTTCGAATTCACCAGTACCAGCAGCCACAATCAATACAGCACAATCGGCCTGAGATGTACCAGTAATCATATTTTTGATGAAATCTCTGTGTCCAGGAGCATCAATAATAGTAACATAGTATTTAGAGGTTTCAAATTTCCACAAGGCAATATCAATGGTGATACCACGTTCACGTTCAGCCTTCAGTTTGTCCAATACCCAAGCATATTTAAAGGATCCCTTACCCATCTAAAAATTGATAAATGGTTTGTTTGTTACAACAGTTTTAAAGCATTAATTTTATTATTACTGAATAGTAAATATATATATTTATAATTTACCTCTTGGGCTTCCTTCTCGAACTTCTCAATGGTACGTTTATCGATACCACCACATTTGTAAATCAAATGTCCAGTCGTGGTGGACTTGCCGGAATCGACGTGTCCAATAACGACAATGTTAATATGAATCTTCTCCTTACCCATTTTGAAGTTTTTACGAGATTACTGGTTACTTCTGTAATGAACAAGAACATACATTATTACTACATATTATATACAATAAACGATAACCCTCTACACGTGGAGAATTTAATATTGCATTTAAAATATCCCTTCAAAGGAGGCTACCAAAATGATTAAATTAAGGTTATGTACGGAGACCGCATATTCAATTTTTAACTTGTAATATGAATATGGTAAATCTAATAAAATATGTATTTACATAATTTTGTCGAAACTAACTGGTGTCAAAATTATATAAATTTGTTTGTATTTTAAGAAAAAAATGCTAAAAATGCAGCAGGTGTCCATCTAACATCCACGTGGCGACGTCTGAATATTCCAGAACGGAACTGGCAGCCATTTTGTAGATGGCAAGATATTGCAACGTTGCCATGATTTCCTTGACGCTTAGCATTGGATGATGCCACGTTGTGAATTGCTTGTAATATTTCTAATAATCGGTGCTCTAATTAACTCTTGCAGATTTTAAGGTTATACTACTTTTAAAATTTGTGCCGAAAGTGGCGCAGCATAAGATTTCCATGCATCATTGTTCCCACGTTAACAAAAATAGTTAATTAATATTTCAAAAAATATAAATGTTGATTTTATTGGTGGAATAAATAATAAAAATGTAAGTATTATGGATTCATAAAAGAATATTAACAAACGGAATTAATTAGCTATATAATTTTTAAGTATGCTTGTGCGTGTATACCGTTAATTTTTTAAATTTTTTACTTATTATTTTTAGTAATATAAATTTCACTTGTTCTTTTTGCATATATATTATTGCTTATACGATGACGAGAAAAGATTATGGTAACAATTTACTATATCGCAGATCGGTAAATGAACTCCATTGTTGGGAACAAGTCGTCCCACAAGGTCGCCGCTGCATACAATTTCCAGCAGATTCATGATGTTCGTCCGCATACACCATTTATGAAGAATAAAGTCAATTATAGCTTATCTTCAATCAGGTTTTTAAAACTATATTTAAAATATTTTCTCTTCTTATTGCAGAGTGCACAAAGAGCAATATTACACAACAAACATCTCCAATGATGCACGAACGTGATCGAATCTCCAAGTGTGACAAGCGTCCGCCATACTGCATCCGGTTATTTGCTTTTTCCGAACATGTTACGTTTAAAAATGAAATTTAATTTGCGGTTTACTTTTCCGCGAGTATTTCTTTATATGGTTAACAATTAGTTACTGGACTGCACGCATTTTAAAAATTGTTTTAAAAGACTTTAATAAAGTTCAGCATGTGGTCCGCGTTCAAGCAGCCGGCTAAGACGACGATTGACCATGCGCTTGTTTTCCAACGTTGTAATTCACCGATAAAAATTACATTTCCGCAAAACTGTTGTCACAACACATTTCGTTGATATTTTTATCGTTGTTTTATGCCGTACCTGTCGTTCGATGCTACCTTCTCCGTAATAAAATCGACGGATTATTTTCCCGTATGAAAACCACGAACAACCACTCACCTCCAGCTGCCACGACAGAAAGAGATCGTCGAAGTGAAGTGACATGCGCATAGGGCTTCGCAGCCGTAATCTCGAAGCCAGCGCCCCCATTATATTGATCACTTGTAAAATAATGAACAGTTTCTTTGCATATTATTCATCATATTTCCTTCACAAAAATACTGAAAGTAAAATCGTGTTATATTTCATTTAATAATGTAATTATTAAACCCTTGATTTTTGTAACTATTTAAATTAAAACTCTTTGGACGAAGTAACGTTTTGGTTTCGAGGCTACGGTTACGCAGCACACAGGCGTGCCGGAGACCATATATATGTTATATACAGGTATTCCCAGGATCTGCATTTGTATGCGTAAGCATAGAATCAGGAAAAAAGGCAAACCACAATGTTCAGAGATAAATTGATGTATCTGTAACATGAGGTTCAATGATACGATTCTGAATCCATCAAATCTTAGAATATTTTAGCAAGAACATAAAAGAGAATTCAATCTGCTCCTTTTTAGACTGTTCCAAGAAGAATGAAATTAATACAGTTTTATTTGACATTATGTTTGATTTAATGTAATTCAGCATATACAAATAAATAATAGAAGAAAGTAAACGACATTTCATATTTTTATATTCTTAAATATTTCTGTAATGGTTATGTGCATTTGTCAAAATTATCGATCGACGATATTTTGATTACGTTGTTTATTATCGTCTATTTATGTATCAGCAGTAATTAATTAGTCATGATAATTGTCTAAGATAAATATAATGGTAAAATAGTATTTGATCGTGCATGTATGTTGGGAGATTTTTACGCGAACTATATATGAAGATGTAGAATATCTTCGGAGGTAAAAGGTTTTCTGGGTAATACTTACACAGAGAAGTAGTCCAAATGATGGCGTTTTATTGTATGCAGTGGGAGCGTTGACATGCAGGTCAAATTTTCTCAATCGCAGATGGTCAGTAGCCTACGATCAGTTATTTCTAATTATACACGGTGTGTCAGGATTTTTCAACTAACTTTGTCAGTATGCTTGATGGGTAGTAGGTAATAAAAAATACCTGATATGTGTAAGTAATTTGAAGTTTTATTTAATTATTTTTATTCAATTAAATTCAATATTCATAATGATTTAATACAAAAGTTAATTACATTTTCTCTGACGAGAAAAGGCTCGAGACTATTTGTAGAGTATATAGTATGCTTCGAAGCCTTTTAAATGGAGTCTTCAAATATTAATTTTAATAAAATGATTTTATACAGATAATTTAAATTTTATATAATGTTATATAATCGTTTGAATTAAAAAAAATAGAAAAATTTGTTATATGGGAAAACGAGAAGAATGTTTCGTAAAGGTATTCTAGAAATGATTATTCTTCTAGAACAGATTTAAAATCGAAACATATACCTGCAGAAATTAATTGTTTTACTATCATGTTATAATATTGACATGAAGACAAACAAATGTAATACTAAATTATAGTTTAATACAATAATATACATGTCTATTAGTAATCCTCTTGCACCATTATTAGGATGTCTTTAACAAAGAGCGGAAGTTGGCCCTTAATTGTGCATGATGAATACTGAATATTTGAATGCCTACATTCTATGACTTATGTATATGTAAAAAAAAGTTAGAAGTTGAATCAGTTGAAGAACAATAATAAATCCAAATTTATGTATTGTCTTCATGTATACTGATGTATATATTCATTTTTTATTAAATTATACATTATATCGCAAAGAAATGATAACCGTATTGTAATTCGTTTGTAATTATCGTATACCTATAATGAATATTTAAAAGTTTCTATTTAGGCTAACAAAATTAACATAATTAAGCATAATGATTGTAATATTTTAGATTAAATTTCATCCTTATAGCTAATATAAACAAAAAAAATCGAGAAAAATAGAATGACTAAGTTTAGTTACAGCTAATTGCGCAATTAATGTTTCGTAATATATATTTTTTATATCTACGGAAGTTAATATTTTCCAAAATAAAATTTCTTGAAATGTAATACTTCAGTTATTCAGAGCAATTCTATATAACATTTTATGTAACTGTCCGCATTTAACTGTACTTTTATATAGACATGTCCAATGGAAACACGTGTTTGAGTTTGTGTCCCCTGAGTATAGATAACCATGCTTGCACCAGCGAAAGAAACGATCATATAAACGGCGTTGCCAAATATGTAAAAGAAAATTTGCGTTCTTTTATTATTGTATTAATCTCTGGTAAATCAGTGAAAGATTTATTTAAGATGAAAACAAGGGAATTTTAAATAATATAGGCTTGTATGGACATCTAAGGATATAAGAACGGAGAAATATATTAAGTCTTTGTCTTGTGTTTTTGAAAAATTTCAAATTCAAAATTTGAGTCACTAATACGTGACAGCAGGAGTTGGGATACGATCGAGAATTAACACATTCACGTCAATACATCTTTCTGTATGTTTAATCATAGATCGTAATAATAATAATGTTCAGAAAAATAATGTGGAAATGTAATTTTTTATTACATCTCCAGTTTTCTGACTTCAGTTGTTAATTGTGGGTAAATGTTAATAGAGTATTTGACAAATAATTTGTTTATTAACATTGATTTATTTTTAGATTATAAAATAGCTGTGAACCACCGGTGGTGCATACCGGTGTGAACATATGTGTTCAATGAGAACACCAGCATGAATCGGCGTACAAGCAGAAGAACAAAAGTTGGGGGTGAGTTGTTTCTCGGAGTAGGTTTCCTGTAATCTCCAACATTCCTTGGAATTCCTAACACTCACTGGGATTATCGAACACTCCTAACTATATAATATACATTCATAGAACACTTTGAAGATTGCAAAAGATGAATACAATCAGTTTTCCAGGATTGCACTTCTGCTTTCAGTTTTATCAGATAAAGTGAAATATAATATTTTACAGAAATTGTATTTATAATATTTAAAAAATGAGAAGAGGTCATTATATTTGTATTTGCAAGTAATTTCTATCCATCTGCGTCGTTGTATATCAATAGACAAAAAGTATTGACGAATACATCCTTTTAATGTGGTTATTTCTTATATTTCAAATAGTTATAAAATATATTAATCATCGTTAATATGTTTATATTAATTATCGAAACAAGCGTTTGTACATATCTAACAATTAGAAAGCAATTCCATTTAGTTTAGGTATTATTTAGAATTACTGAAATTATTTAATAATTTAAAATATACGAAATATACAAACCTTAATTATTGATGTTTGATCATTTTGTAATATATACACGTATGTACATTGACTAGTTTGCACAAAAAGTGACAAGTTTTTATTGTATATTTATTTTCGAAAGTGCTGAAAATAAAATGTATATTATAATAATATGTCCTTATTCGTCGTGACTATTGTTAAAGTTGTGAAGTTTTTATTTCAATTGTAAACCGTGTTTCTATTTCTAACTTTTAAATATTTTCAATCACTTACATGTATTAGTTGGTTTCAGTTGCTTTGACGAATTTTCATTTTTACAGCCTAACATACTAAAACAAAAATGAAATAGCATTTCACTTTCTTGGTAATGCATTTTAGCAGACTTGTTCTAAAATAAATTTCTTAATGTTAAGTTTTTAAAGTTGCATGTGATACGTACAGATACGTACATAAAGTTTCCAGTTCATTTATTATTTTCTTTATTAAATTTATTTCGTGTTTTAATAAATGTATCAGCGCATCACGAATTTATTCAACTAAAATAAATATTGAATTTAATAAAAAAATGTATGTATCTTCAAATACAATTAAATAGAAAGAAATATGAAATCCTTTTTGTATCATAAAAAGATATAATCTATAATATTCATTACACAATGTTATTTCCTTACAATTACATTTTATTCACTCCTTTGAAATGTTGTAGTCAGCCCTACCATACTAAGCTGCCATTGCATCTCATTTACCCATCATTATTTGTTTGCTTTGGAGGCTACAGACAAGCATGACGCCAGTCTGTGAAACGATCGTAAAAGCGTATCAGTTGCTACTTACACTTCACCTACTTTTATGTGATCATATCTTGACAAGATGGACAATAGTACTATGAGATAAAATTAATCGTGACGTAATTAAGAAGTTATACCTTCCTAGAATCTTCTGTTTTAAAGAGACATAGAAATATTCCTTTTTAATGAAAATGTATATATTTACAATACATTTTAAGAGAAAATTTAAGCATATTCTATATTAAAGTTATTAATTTTAAATATTTGACAAACTACTTTTTGACAATCTTATAGAATATTTGAAAAGAATCATTCGAAAATAAAATATTAAAGGAACGCTAGTTTAAGGAATTTCGAAATCCAGTAGAGGTCACGTTCGAGCAACTTACTTATTATTTTGCTTTATCTAAGGAGATGTGAATACTACGAATTACAGTTCCTGTTTGTGTTTCACCGTGTAATTATTTATTTTTAATATTAAGCTTAGATTGTAGATGGTAGGTATATTTTTCGTATTGTCTTCTTTTTAAACTTGTTGTCCTTTATTGTACATACACACATAAATTATACAGGCGTCACCGACACCGTTTCGCAATAAGATAAGAATGATAGTATAAATTATTAATTAGAATATTTGCAGATTTTATAAAGAGAACTTGAAATTTAACAAATTTTTTAAAAGTTTCATTGATTGTTCAAAAACATTTTTTCTAGGAGTATTCTAACAGTATGAGCTACGTATATAAATACTTTTTATAAATAATGTATTAGAAGTCTGTGTTTATTTTAAGAATTTGACACTAGATGTGTTATGTTTGACACAGATCTATCGAAAAATAGTAGTATTTTATCACGATTGAATTTTTGTTTCATATGATCCAACACGCATTGCTAATGACCAACCCGTGGCAATCACGTGCTGTTGTATCTTTAAAATTTTTAATCTTCTGATTATTACTTTCTTCATTTTAGAACTGATTAAACAATGTGCGAAGAAATATGAAAAAAGAGGCATACTTCTGAATGATTTGTTAAATTTTGTCGATAACGCGAGGAGATAGTAGAAATGAATAATATTGACATTTAAACAAAATTTATTTATTTAAGGTCACATCAATAACACTATTTATCAACAAATGTTCACATTTATTAAACTCAGTTTGAAATATTCAAGATGAGTTTGGGTCGATGTAATAAGGCAAGAGTTAATGTTGTTTATGGTCAACGCTGGTGTCCATCAAATTTGTTTTCAACGAGTTCAGAACGTTCAAAACAGTGTCGGTGAAACTTGTATTGGAATGTGTTAAATTTGACATATTATAATCATGTATGGTTTTTCATAACGAGAGTTTCCGAATAATAAACACACACACTAGCACGTAAAAGTATTTAAAATTAATGTAGGGTAATTTTTGGGAGATGGCCGGTTCAATTGCCTTGCATAAACAATTGATATTTATACACAATTATAATTAATGTCTTTTAATACTTAATCAACTGAATGAAGAGATCTTTAATAAATTTTTTAATAAAATCTGTCGAATCGGATCAATTAAAGTTAATGAGAAAGGTTATACTTACAGTTTTTTTCCAGACAGTTGCCTAACAATAAATGTTAAGCATCATACATACAGAAATTTTAAAAAATTTTAGAAAATTTTTCTATCCGGTGAGCACAACACTTCCATTATAAATATATGAACTTTAAATACTTTTGTAAATCTGTGTACTTCGCGCTATAAGTGTACGTTTCAAATGCTGATCAGAAACTGTTAATTTCCTTAACACAAGTTGTTTTTCGTGTTCTTCATTTGAATATTCTATGAATACAGTTATAAGGGATTTTGAAAGAAAACATCATGCCAAGTTCAATTGCCTATGTATATTTGTGAAGTTCTACTGACATCCGATTGTACAACACTCGCACATGGGAGCGGCGCAGCTAAGTTTCGAAAATTTAAAAATAACTTGTATCGTTGAGGAGAGAAACGGATATATGCGTGTGTTAAAATGGACAAAGATCTGTGCATATGTGAGTGGGGGGAAATGGTATTTTATGGATAAGTATATAGTTCACAATACACACGATGCATGTTGTCTGCGAATGTAGTAAATGATCGCATTGTTGCAGTTGTGTTCCGTCGTGATGGTTTCTTTTGCGTGTTTATGTTTTTTTTTCTTAAGAATCTCGTTTTTGCTCTATTATTTGTGTCTCCCGCACGACAGTCACGATCATCCACAAATGTTTATGTAACCTTAATGTCGACATTTTGGTCAGTTTCTGTAATCGGAAGTAAATTCTCGCTTAATGTTCCTTCCACGCTTACTTTCGCTTTATCTCTCACATGTTCACCATTCATGCACTGTAATCTCAGGCTTGTTATCTCTCACTGGGACAACTGTAGCGTTGTACAGGATGATTTCTCGCAGGTTTTGATCGGAGAGTTGTTCATACAAAAGGCAGTAACAAATAAATTCGAATAAACGTATATACAGGAAACACTTGATCATCTGAACAAATCATGGCAAGCATTGTTTGAATAAACGAATTTCTCGGATGGCTGAATCTTATTTTCGTACGAAAGGAGACCATTTAGTTAGAAATGTATTATAAGTATTAATATCAAATAAATACTACTATTAACTTAGCACTAATATTAAATAAGAAAAAAAGAAACTGTTTCGAAGTGCATGAAGATAAAATTGGAATTACTTTTATATGTCATTTCCTCTTTTCCTTCATTTACATTATACTTTCACCATATTCGTTATTATTGTGTTATTATTAGCAAATATAATTTTATTTACTAAACAAATTTCGTTCTTATCGGTTAATTCAATTTTAATCGTATTGTGTTTCAATCTATTTGTACTTATATGTTGTTTATAACGATAATGGGCTTCCATGTTATATAAAAAATGAAAATATATTAAGAAGGAAAGTGCAAAGGAAATGAAAATACTTTATATGATTCCATATTCCTTTTTCTAACTAATTAAACAATACTGTTCCCATATTCAAATCTTCTGTTCATTTAATTTTTCGTCGATCGATATTCAGATAATCGTTCGTTCCAATGATAATAATCGCTAATGTTCTGATAATCGAGATTCCACTGTATATTCATTTAATTCTAATAACAATAACTATTTTTATTGGCATGTACGATTTTCTATTCCCTTTTCTATCATTGTTGTTCATACTTTTTATTAAAAAGAAAAAAAGAACATTATTCACTCCGATCGTATAGTACCTTTCGAATAACCCTGTACACAGCTTCCATACATATTCCATGCTATCATTATTGTATATTCATTATTATATTTATACTTATGCTATATTTATATTTACAAGAAGTAATTCGCTAAATGTTTATATTCAATATCGCAATCGTTATTACATTGTAACATTATTCCTGAGTGACCATTCATTAAGAGACTTTCCCCTTCTATTCTTCGTTATAATCAGATGGTTTACTTAACGCTGTCGTCGAGGTGACTCTGAGAGTGTGATTCAAGGGAGGAAGTTTCACTGGATTGGTAACACTAGTTTTTATTTAGTTGAACTGAGTACAAGTGTTTTAGTATAAACGTCGCAAATTCGTTCTTCTAAAAAAACTGAGTCCTCTTTTCCGTTTTTCCTCCGTATTTAAAGGATTCTGTAAAGGAGTGGGGGAAAGGGATTTTGGGAGAACTGAGGGCTGCAGCGATCTGGTGGGGGTGTAGCGTGGTAATCTTGGAATTCCATCGCGGCAGTCCCTGAGTTTTTGGAAAAGGTGAATTTTGTCGCCGGATGCATAAATTTGGCATCTAAAAGGAAAATTGGACAGTTAAAAGGAAAAAAGGGATTTTCAGGATACGTAATTTAAGTGTATGAACAGGAAGTTGTTTTTGTTTCGGAGAAAAGGCGGAAGATTGGAATGCAGCCTCGGAAAAGGCCTCCTCTTGACCATCCCTAAATGAGATAAAAGGAGTATGTGGAACAACAACGCTGAGATGCCGCGTCGCGACGGAAAGAAAAGAGGTAGTGAAATAATAAATATGGAAACACGCTTGGCGATAATTCAGTGATGCGTGAACTAATCTGTTTAATGCGATAAGCTATCGAGAATTCAACTTTTACAGGGAATGACGTGTTCTTTCAAATGTTTTAAGGATGTCGTTAATTCTCAAGGATATCAAAACGATCAAGCACATTCGGCTCTCAGTACACAAAAAATCATTATGTAATTCCGTTTTACTATTTAACCCCTTGCCCTACGATTTATTTCTGAATTACGATCGATGCAACTATTTACTCTGTTGTTAATAATTCATTGTAAAATGAGAAAATTTCTAGATATATTCTGTGCTCATATCTCCTCTAACGTTTAATAATTGATAACAGAGGAATAATACGTAATTTGAATTCACGAAAATTCAGTAATATTTACGTTTGCCAAATTTTGTTTAATATCTTTACCACGAACCTGGCACGTAGTTATAAGTCAAGGGGTTAATTTCAATTACAAAATCGCAGTAATGGGAAACAGAAATACATATATAGCAGCTAAGTAGATATCTTGAGATTCACAATATATCGTTAAATATCTTCGTTTCATAATGTAACCGTTTGAAAAGATTTCTGCATTCTTATTTAACACGTTCACTGCTAAATCTGCGTATCTGTGGTGTATGGGTAACTCAACGGTTCCGTGGTGCCAAACTCACGTATGCTATGATCGTTTACATTCCGATTATAATTTCGATTTCTGCGTACATACTAAACTATGTCTACACTGCTGATACTGTTCCCGAGCACTATTGAACCATGATGCTCGAGAATTTTACATTTGACTCTCTACGTTGCTCGTCAATATACCAAATTTCGTACCATGTTCACATTGCCCGTTATAACGGGGAACCAGCATTACGAACACATTAAATGATCCATGAAAAATCAAGATATCATTCGATATCAAAATATTATAAACTATAATTATTTTATTTTTGTTATTCCATGTTGAATATAATGCAAATAAACATGTAAAGAGAATGTTACATTAAGGAGTCTTCTGATTTTCGATTTTTACTGTTCTTATATAGGTACAGGTATATAACTAAAGAAAACTTGGATCATTTGTTATTTGTTTTAACTTTATAAAGTCAATGAAGTAATTTTAAATGACTTAAGCAATATACAAAATACTTAATATGTTAAATGTTGACATACAAACGTCTTAAGGATCAAGATATAAATTAAGTATATTTTTAAACGGTTAAATACTTTTGTCAATGAATGAATGTATAATGAAGAAACTGTAAAATTGTATGATTAATTAATAAATAATATTTATTTAGCAAGACATTTGTATCAGTTAATGCAAGCATGGTGTTAGCATACCGCTCGCTTGCATGGTTTAGTGTGTTCGTAATATTCAATATTTTAAATATACCGACAATGTAAACATGATTTCCATTTTTTAAATTTAAGTCATTATCTA